GTTAATTGCTCGGGCCCCGCCACTCCGCCTGCGCGGAGCCGGCACAACCTCGCTCCCCGAGGAATGACAATTCGCCCTAATGGGACAACCTCGCTCCCAGAGGAGTGACAATTCCTCGTAATGGGCCGCTCGTTAGCGGCCTATTCTCCCGGACCCGGGTATCAGAAGCGGGCAGACACGCGGGCGCCAACGTCCGCCTGGAATGCCACAGCACCGCCCAGCCCCCTCGCCCCCGGATTCGCTGTGTGACCGCGGGCAAAAGGCTGCTCCTCTCTGAACCCGTTTGTCTTACCTGGGCCGCCTGGAGTGGACACGGGCAATCAGGCCTGAGCGGGACGCATAGATTTCCAGCCAGCGAGCAAGGGCGTGGACGGCGCTCCTGGTCACCACTTGAGGTTTTAGGGGGACCGATCTTGAGTGGAGTCCTGGGCGTTGAGGCGGGCATCCTCCGGCCCATTCCACTTGAAGTCAGAACTCAGGTCTGGAGACCAAGCCCCAGCCCCAGCCCCAGCGAAGCGCGTCTTAGCCAAAGTGCTCCGCAGGTTACCCAAGCCCGCTGGGGGTCTGAGCTGTCATTGGCTCCTCATTTTTGAGGCTAGAAAGCCGAGGAGCAGAGAGGGGAAAGCCTGACCCTAGGTCAACTGCTGGCCGAGCCTGATTCCACTTGGTCCCCAGGAGGGTGCCGTAGTTGAGGACAAGATAGGGGCCAGGTGCTGCGGCCCGCAGTCTGGAGAAAGGTGGACCGACTGATTTGGGGGGTAGGGGGAAGGAATCCCATGGTTCCTAGCTACCGGAGGGTTAAGGGTACCATTCCTTCTGTAGTCCCCGGTTCGAATCCAGACCCAGCTCACGTCACTATCTCAACAGACGTCCGTTTTCCCGTTTGGAACATGGGCATATTAATGCCCAACCCACAAGTTGAGGTGGATGAGAAAACCCTTACAAACATCCAGGTATGGCATGGGTGATACGTTCTTCCTCCAGCCTCTTAGAAGTGTCATGGGCATAAGTCCGGGGACTCCGTTTATCTCCTGCATGAATAAAGACAAGTAACTTCGCACTTCTGCGCTGCAGTTTCCTCCCTTGTAACATGGGACTAATACCACTATCGCCTACCTCCTAGGATCATAGTGGAGATTGAATGAGAGGTAATTACCGCCAATTGCTTAGAACAGTGCCTCCCCACTAGTCCAGTCAATACCCACTCACAGTGACCCTATTGAACTGCCCCTGTGGCTTTCCCAGGTTGTAAATCTATCCCAGAGTAGAAAGCTTCATCTTTCTCCTGTGGACAGGCTAGTGGGTTCAAACTGCTGGCCTTAGGGTCAGTAACCCAACTTGTAACCTATTACACCACCAAGGCTCTTCAGAACAAGGCCCAGGATTCAGTTATTATCAGATATTATCATTTTTTAAAAGCACTCTTGGCATA